TATAATCACCGATTTGGACACCAAGGACATTCCGCTAGATTACCGGACCTGGACAGTCCTATTATACCATACCATACGAGTATAATCTAGTTTATTTTATTTTATTTAATTAACTGAATAACACTTGAAGGGAACGCATTGTAAGCATAATAATATGACATTTAATTATTTTATCATTATCTTTCACTCACACATTATTTGCAATTTACATTGACATTGCCATATACGACAATGTCTAAATTAATCAAGTGGAAATTGCTATTTATGGTAATAAGTCAAAAATATATAACATATATACTATAAGTCACAAAACATAAGGAAATTATTTATCTAACTATTATTACAATAGAAAATTTATAATATTAAATAATTATGGATTTTAAAATTTTTATAATACTATTCGTTACAATGAATGGTATTCACTAATTAAAATAAATAACAAAATTTATTTTTAAAAATATTGTTTTTAATTAAGCTTGTTTAGCTCGCAATCCAATGGATGACAAAACTGATGATGACTTTCTGAACGATTGCATTCATAAAAGCAATGAACTTCGTGCTAGACACCATTCACCTGGGTTTCACCTTGATCATGATGTACAGTACTTAATTTATAAAAATTTTAACTTTAAACATAACCTACATAATTAATTCACATTAATCTAGGCTGTTAATTACGCCAAATCACGATGCCATTTGATATCTCAACAATCTGGATTGGAGCATGGTCACGCTGGATTAGAGGGTCATGGTGAGAATTTATACTGGTCAGGTCACTCCAATGACCATGTTGGTTCTTGCTCAGATGCTGTTAATTCATGGTATTTATTAAGATAAATATTTAACTAGCTAAATATTGCCCATAAACATATATATTTGAACCAGGTACGATGAGGTTCATGGCTACAATTATGATACGGGTGAGGGTGCAGGTCATTTCACCCAGTTGGTTTGGAAATCATCAACAGGGTTAGGGTGTGCCAGGTGTGCGGGTAGAGAGCCCGGGGGTGCGTGGTATGAGACGTACGTGGTTTGCAATTATAAACCACAGGGTAATATAGTTACCGATGATAAACGGTATTACCACGAAAATGTGCTTCGACCTTAAATTTGCTTTAATTCATTTTAATTATTTTATATTTTATTTTATTTTGATGTTAATGTAAAATTTATTGATTTATAATGAATTAGTAGCAAACAAGAAAGTGATTGTAATTGCTCAAAGTAATGATATAATTTATAATATTTATATTACAAAACTATAAATATATTAATATTTTACAGTTTAAAATTACATAGAGATATGTATTATAATACGCATCCAATAAACTACTTTTTAATATATAAACTCGCTAAATAATTTTAAACATTCAACATACTTCATAAATGTATATTTGGTGATTATTGCTCCCACCTTAAATTTAATCATGCAAATTATTTTTTAAAAATATAATATTAAATATTAATTTGATTGTATTTTGTAATCAAATTGTCTTTAACAATGTGTAATCTTATTGGTTATAGTGACTATAACTTATAGTATAGATATGTTGTACTCCTAATAAGGATTTATTAATAAATTATCATCAAAATGTAAAAATACTAAATTATAAACAAGGAAATACCTTATTAGTAAAATTCACTACATTATATTCACCATATCCTTTTATCTTATAAAATGACTATTTTATATATTTAGCATAATACAATCAACGGTATTTGTATAAGAGATTTTGTGTATGGTATATAATTGTTATTTATGTGAATGAAAAGTCAAATGTAATTTAAAATGTTTTGTATATATCGCAATTAGCATCATACATTTTGTCTAACTTTATGGCAACTCATCGATTTTTGTACAATATTTATGATTTTATAAATCGAGTTTTGCTATATTGACTGACAGACTGTAAAATCGCGTAAAAACACTAAAACCTATTTAGTAATTAATTTAAATTGAATCAAATAAAGTGATTATTTTATTACAGCTTAAATAAGTCGATATACTACTGTATGATTAATCACATAAAAATATTATGAAACATGTTCAAGGTAAGCGATCCTTTTACTAGTATATAAATCATCAAAAATGTTCCAACATATATTTTTACAATAATAACTTTATTAATTATTTTCATTTAAAATTCTAGATCCATTAATTGATTTTTGTTTACTTGTAAAAATAAATTACAAGTTAACTATAATTAAGAATCGGTAAAAGTCTTTGTAAATAGTTGGTAAAAAGGGAATGTTGTAAAACATAATTTTGGAGCAAAGCCTTAGTATCTTTACCTAAGATTCAAAATTGTTGTCATTTTTATCACTAATCTCTTGTAAAATAATTTGTTATAAAAACATATTCATCGAGTAATTTGAAAAAATACAGAATAAATATGATTCAAATTAAGTATTAGCAAGGTGTTTATTTAAACTATGATTTATTTATTGAATTTATTTTTAATTTGAGTCATATTTGTATTAATCAAAAGTATTTTGCATGAATGTTTAGAAAATATTCATTTAATTTGTATATACTTTTTCAAATATAATTAATTCTTAACTATAATTACCGATTCTTAACTATAATTTATACAAAAAATTAACTTTCATAGAAAATGAGCAATCACTATAATTATCTCCTTGTTTTTAAACTGATAATTATCATCATATTTTCTTATCATGCAAATGAGCACGCAATAGTTTATTATATAAGTTTAAGATAAATAGATTAAATTATTAATACCAGTATAAAAGTAAGTCCATAAAATTAATATTTCTTTTTAAAATTACATTTGCATTCAAGTAGTAATAAATCAACTAGTAATATTTGCTATTCTATTGCATAATGTAAACTAATAAAACAGAATAAAATAAGAATTTAAAATAATTTGTCATTTTTAATGATATTTACGAAATAATAAGTTTGACATTTTTAAAATTATTGATATAAAATATGATGTATAATTATCATTAAAATTATCATTAGTAGTATAATTAGCACATAATTATACGTTCATTGCATATACGGTATACTTACTATATGTATGTATACTTGAATTTACTTTCTATTGCTATTTAAAAACTCACTCATACTGTATAAACAAAACTTTTATAGTGTCATAAACTATAGCATTATAACAAAAACTATTATATTATAACCAAAATGT